TTTCAATCTTTTTACAAATAGCTCAAATAAATCTTTTTTGAAAACTATATCATTTGCAGTAAACGGTGACATATTTAGTGATCATTTCATGTCTCTACATTAAATATTTTTTTAGTTAGTTACGATGAAAATATAAATCCTTAAATAAACTCAATTAAATTGTCATCTTTAATTAAGCGCCCACTCGGTACTCATCATGATCTATCTGTTTCAAATGATCGTATTATGCTATTATTTTTTCGTTTCTATTACGTATAGTTAGTATATCATTTAACTATTTATCGTTGGATCAATAGAAGCAATAAAAAATGTGTGGTACTATGGTTTGTAAGTAAATGAAAATCGTGTTAATCATACTGAAAGTGTATTCAATCAGTTGTACGAATACGGTTTTAGATTAATTGTAGTCTATCTTACGGATGATTGAATAACATATTATTTAGAGCAAATGACGAATTGTTATTACGTATTTTTATGGTGTAATGGTAAAATATTATTTTGCATAAAAATCACTAGAACTAGTTTATAATATACCTATCTCGTTCGGTATATAAACACTATAAATGACTCAAGAATCTTATTTAGCTATAATAATTATATATTTTGATAGCAATATATCTTTAGCAATACCAGTAGCAGTGGCGTATTGATGAGGCAGAGGGTCCAGATAACTTTTGTGATTAATTAAAAAAAAAAAAAAACTTGGTGTGGTTATTATATTGAGGATATAATTTATGTTAGATAAGTATCAATGAGGTCAATGAGGGAAGGGATTCGAACCCACGGGCTCTACTCAGTAAATATACCACTGACGAGTAATTATCACGAATTACCGTAAAATTTTGACTATTGTGAAAAATCACGTTAATATACTTGGTAATTCCCAGGCGACTGAAGTGAAGATGTATATATATTATGTATACAAAACCTCAAAATATATGAAAATATGTAAACTAAAATTTCATTTTTGAACTCGTTATAACGAGCCTACAGGCTATGATTCTAATTTATAGCTCATCCAGTAACTTGTAACTTGTCGTACACATTAAAAGCATGTAAATGCATGAACTTTTGAGCCCTAATTAATGGGTATGCAAAATTCTCAATAAAAAAAATGCCAATTTTGATGATAATAAGTAATAACTTATGTACCTATGCATTTTATTTACTTATATTTTTGAAGTAAAGATTCTTTACATTCTAGTATCTATAATTTAATTTAATATTCAAATAGTAAATATTAGCAATAAATCTGGTTTTCATGAACAAAACGAAGTTTTTCTTGGAAAAAAAAATTATATAAATAATATAAATTATAAAATAATAATGAATTATAATTTTTTAAATACATATTATTATACGGGTATCTTTAATTGACTTAGATAAGTATATATTCTGGTACAACGTGATTTTGTAAATATTTATGCATTATTATTATTATTTTTTTTTTTATTATTTAATTATTATGTGGTTATAAAATTAAATTAAGCATATAGTATAATATTTTATCTGTAGTACCATATGTATATAAATATTCTCTTATTTCAATTCCAATATTTAATTTTCTACCGTTCTGTGATCGACGTTGCAGTATAATAAACTCTCTTGTTACAATAATAATCTGCAAGCGTCGATTATAAGTGGATGCTGGTTATTGAACTCGCGACTGTGAGATGTTTATTACGTCCTCGTTTGTCGATCCAGATAGCTAGTAGGGGCAACGACGTTTATACATGTTTAATAGAAATAAATAATTAATTGGTCAAACGTTCATTATGTAATTTCGGACTAGATTCTTCGCAAGTGACCATAAAAAACCTTTTGGAGTGTAAACCAGTATGGACATTGTGCAAGACTGGAGTTTTCGGAATATAAGAAGGTGAGTCATTTTGTAATATTACATAAATGTAATAAATTTAACTTCATAGTGATTCTCTATTTGTATTCGTTATAAACTCTTAAAAAACAATGTTTGCTACATGTATAGTTGTATACATTTAACAATATATATATTGATGGTATATTGGTTTTGAACATTTTAAGAAAATGTGCAAGCACGGTGTTGATAGTAGACTTAACATAAAATATGAATAAATAAGCTGTACTGTAAACTTTGTTTGCAGAGACTACCAATATATCATTCGTACAATAATTTATGATTCCAAATTTGTATAACCACACGATAAAAAAATACAATTGTGATTCGTGTGATCGAATTATTATGTATCATATATTATAAATCAGTGGCTTAGAAAGTGTATGGTGAACTGTGTCAACACCAGGGGCGCGAATCACAAAGGGGAGCAAAATTGTGTAAAAATCATTTTCAACATAAAATTTTTCTGTTTTTTAAAATGTGTAGATTTTGTCTAATTGTACACACTACGTGTGAATTCAATGATAAAATTATAAAAATAGCAGAAGGGAATTCATATAGGAAATTTCATATGAAGATATTATCGATGGATTCACCAGTCTTAAAGTGAAAAAAGCAAACTTTAAAGTTAAAATTCACACTATAATAATAACTAATAAATATAAATTGTATTCTTTAAAAAAATTAGTCAAATTAAAGGTTGAAAAAATTATCACATCAAATTTTTAGTTGGTAAAATGGCATTTTATTTTTCTAAGTTTGCCAGGAGCGCTAGCAAATGTTTCTATGCCACTGCTAAAAATGAAATTAATAACATCATTATGAATACGTTTTGATATGAACCGTGACCACAAACATATTTTACATATTGATTTGTCAGATTGTTTGATCAAATATCAAAGTATATCGTTAAAGTAAAAAAAATGCGTTTGTAATGATTTTTTTTTAAATTTTTTTTCTAAGTGGTTCTTAAATATAATTTTCCTGTAATTCTGATCACGATAACTAATATTAGAAAGCAGATTTAAAATTAGAATATCTAGAACTTGAAATGAAACGCAAGCTCATTATGTTTTTGTTTTTTTTTATTAACTGACAAAATTTAATCGAATCATTATTACGTGTGCACCTATATGGTTATGAATCGAAGTTTTGTACAACGTTTTCGATCAAATCAAACGATATGTCTACAATACTTTGTACACGATGTATACATAGGTAATGCATGTAAACGATCTCCGCAGTGAGCCCAGCGTAATATTATCGTTTCATTTACATAGGTATTTATGTATATAAGTGTACAATGCTTTTGATGAAATAATAAATAGCGACTAACCGGAGATAATATATGATACATACTGATATTCCATATGTACTCAAAACTAAACATTCTTGTACATAATTATTCCCTTCACTCGTTATAAAGTTTACTAGATAGGCTTAATTACGTTGTCGATCGGTACGTTAAACACGATAATAGCGATTATTCAATTATCTTTATATATTTACAGTGTTTGTGGCGAAATCTGTCCGAGACGAAATCGCAAAGGATCAAAAAAAAAAAAAAAAACCATCCGATTTTGACAGATCTCTAGTCTAGACAAAAGGTATGGTTATATAAAATTATTATATTTCTGCCATAATCGTGAATAATATCCGGACAAGACGGATTTCGTTTTATTTAGAATATCCAGTCTTGGACATCTTTCACCATGTAACTCTTAATCCGGAAACTTTTAAGTTACATTTCGTCTCGTACGTCAACTGTTATTGAATTAAAATATATTTTAGATATAGGCGTACGGGCGACAGGGAAAGCCAATCGAGTTTACGTTTAACTGGGAATGTTTTAGACACGCTGATTTAATGTAGCTACATTACTTGGTATTTGCCTAAGGTAAATTATTAAACCTTTTGCATTCGACACTTTTAATTTTAATTAATATAATAATCAAGGCGACCAAAAAAAAAAAAAAAAACTTTTCTGTCATATTATACAACATAAGTAAACAAAATAAATATTTACATATTATAAGAAAAAAAAATGTCTTAATGTTTTCAATATTATTATAATTCATGAATCAAGTAGTTAATACGAAAATCAGTGTTTGTCAGCAATTGTTGATCTCACCGGATATTATGTAAATTGGATATTTACGAGGTAAGATAAAAAGTTATTGGGAACGAAATGTCTTTTTGTTCTCGATTCCGATCCTTCTGAATTACAACACAATTACACGTACGAAAATAATTGATATTACATATGTCACCGTTATAATAGAATATTGTTTCCAATCATTGTAATTATTATTTATACGTACAGCTAATAAGGAAATGATAAATAAGTGCGGCGATTTCATGTTCTTCCGTCCTGGAACAAAGCTGAATACTGCGGAATCGCGTTGGGACCCAGGAAGTTTTCCATTTTCGGTAAGTTTTCGATTTGTTCTGTTATAATGTTCTCATTGCAATTTTTAAATGGAGCTAATACGATTATCACCCAATTCAGGTTTTATCATCACGCGAGTATTGTTTTGGGCAGATTTCACCACGGGATTGAGCGCCGGATCAAACACTTTTGAACGAGTGCACGATTACTACAATTCATTCAAGCAGTTAAAATCGTGACGCGGGATCAAATGCAATTTTCTTCGGATACAGGCGGTATCGCATCGATCAAATATATCTAATATTAATCAGCTGTTGCGCGGCGATCGAGTGGTCGCGCAAAAAGAAATAATCCACGCGGACGGTGACGGTGGTGGGCACGCGCGCACGTGATCGATTTCCTCGGTGGAGATGAACAGAACGACGATGAACAATGGTAATAATAATAACGATAACAGTGGTAATATAAAATGAAAAATTAAAATAACCACGTGCACACCGGTTAAAACTGCTTGGGACGAGCTAACGGGTAGTTAAGTCGAATTTACGACACGCGCGCAAACGGGTACAATCGCTGTACACGGTCCGGAGCCGAAAGGAAAGGGTATACACCGTGCGCGAGTCCTCTGTGTCGTGCACACAGCGGAGATGGATTCCGTAGTACGGTTAACTGGTATAGCCTACTTTCTTTCGCCGCCGCCGCCGCCGCGCATACACATCGGAAACCGACCAATAAACCCACATTCGATTTCGTTCATTCGACTTGTCGCCGGCAACGCACTCGCACATCGCAGTGGCACTTTTCTTCCCGTCCAATCGTCTCCGCCGTTAAACGCTCTACGCGCGCGCGACGATCGCCACGACGTCGACGTACCACGGTCATTTATCGTTTTTTCCTCGAGGCCAAATACTGTAATAAGCGATTTTTCGTTCGTCCCTTTGCTATTAGTATTGTTTTCTCCCGTCCCGTTTGACCGCAGTGCCGTCGATTTATACGCATACGCCTCTATCCGTACGCGCTCGGTTAATATTTTCCCGTCCGACCTTTGCGTGCACAAGAACGCGCACGTTCGCGCCATCACGCGTCTATCCGGAATAGCTTCAACATTCGTTTTCTAGTAAGTTATGATCATTTTTTTTTTTTTTTCTTACTCTTTATGTAGCATAACTTTTTATTATTTGCACATAGTTTAGGTTAGGTTAGTATTCGATAGTAATGATTTAAAAAAAATTAAAAATTATTTACGAGTTATTGTTATTCGTATGACATGCATAACACAGTACAACATAACAACAGAATCGACGAGTGTATAATTTACGAGTACACCTTGTTTTCAAAAGCATACCCTAAAATTTTATTTTTTACGTTTCTACGCAACATATTTTATAATTACATACGATTTCACATGGAATCATTTACCACCGTTGTCGTTTATTTTTACAAAATTTGTAAAAATAAACGATATTGTGCATACAATTAATGTATACACGCGTTGTTGGGTACCATATACATTTACATATACATAGTTATGTATTTGCCATTTCGCCATCAAAAAAATTCTTTGGGTGGTTGTACGTGTTCCGTTTAAAAGTGAAAACTTAATAAGTTTTTTTTTGTAGCGACCAAGAACAGCGCTTTCGTCCAATTATTCTTGAAAAGTAGAGTTCGGTTAATTTGTTTCGTTGTACGCGCGTAGCGCCTGTCATCGCGAACACGTATATAATACCATTATATTTAAAGGCAGTACGCAGACCAGATGGACACACGTACTAATAAAATTTCATTATTGTTGTAGGTATTGTAAATGGCTTGGAGATAAATTTAGATTAAAAAAAAAAAAAGGACTGATCGAATTATTTATACTAATATATTAAGCCACGTGGAGAGGTAATCAATCATCAAAAATACTTTCTCAAACAGAATTTTCAGTGAATGTATGATGATATAAATCAAACACCATCTTAATTATTAACTAAGTTTTTGGATTGTTTGTTTTGATTTTTAATAACACTTTCATCTATAATATGTATTGATCTTAAAAACTAAAATAATAATAAAAATTATTTTAAAAAATATACAATATTAATTTTTATTGGTTTTTTTCAAATTATTCATATACGAAAATTACTTTTTTAAGTAATTAAAGTCTTAAAGTAATTAATTACTCTTAAAATAAAAATAGGTGAAATAAAATTATGTCCAATAAAAATTATTTTTATGTATAGGTTAATGAACCACCTATTGGATTTCGATTCCGGATTTTTTGGTTATTAATATGGATAGAATCATGCTAAATCTACTCTTATACTTCCTTTGCTATCATGTTAATGAATTGCAAAATTGTATCATATAATTCTGAAAAAAACCTTTCTTCTAACCCATCGCAAAATTTAAAAAACCAGTTAAAAAACGAATTATTACAAATCTCAGTTGTATTTACCACAGAATTAAATACATCATTATTTCAATACACACAGTTTATCTTTTAAATAGTTTAAATTTGCTTTATACTATATTTCAGTTTCGAAGCATTGTAAAAATATAAACAATGTGGTTGGGTGAGAATTTATTGTGAATACAGAGTTTTAATGATGTAACATAAACACTTTTTTCTTATAAAAAATTAGATTAGTGTTCGGTAAGAGAACATTTAAAATGTTTGTTGTCTTCCGTTAAAGTCTCTGAATAATAATTACGTATGTTATATATTATTCATCCAGCAGTCATTACGAAATGGTAAAAATCACTGTAGTGTATCGACAAAATGTATAGGAATCACGGATTAGAAATACATAAATAAATGAACCGATAGCATCTTCCTGATTACACATTATTGTTACATAAATGTGTCTTTAATAATTATTTAAATTACACCAAATTAATAAGCTTTGTTTGCATAAAAAAAAAAAAAAAAAAAAATACGTATCACATAATTTATACAAGTTGCTTAATATTTTCAACCTACTAAATCATCCTCTCGAAAATGAGTGCACTCATATTATAATATATTTGTTTAATAATATTATAGCACGGATGTTAACAATTATGAACACGTGAGTAAACTTACAAATATTATATACGTGCGAACATAGTACAATAATAATTGTATCTTATTATTTCAACTACACACGTTAGATGAATCTATGACAAATTATACATTATATGGTTATTATTGTTTAAAAGAATATTCTTCTATAAATCATCTTTAACAAGCATATATTTATTTTGTTCTTTCCTCGTATTTAAATATTATTCTTATTTCGTTGATATAATGTACTATATTTATTTAGATCTTTCGATTTATAATCATAGGCGTACGCACGGGGGATGCCGGATGTGCCCGGGCATCTCCCGAAACGTTCTAAACGGGGCCCTACAATTTAAGTCTCAGACTATAAAGGGCCCGTATTTTAACTGACTTGGCTCAAATTAAATGTAATTTATTCTTAATCATTTGGTAAAAAGTAAACGATGTTTCGCGATAGAAACAATAAAACAAAATGTCCTAAATTTTTGTGCAAAAATTTTTTATGATAATATAACAGCTACAATTGATTGTAAAATTAAAACATGATTTAAGCTATCCGAGAGAAATATACAAGAAAACATGTTCGTTGGGACTAATATACCACAATATTCAATATAAAATTAAAGTTATGTTTATTTCATTATTTATACATTATGATTTATTAAATATATCTACGCGTTTTGTTAAGATAGGGCCCAAAAGTATTGTAGGCACCCCCTGATATACAGGTCTGTTCACGCCTGTTTCTAATGCTTTATTTAATTATTATAATCATATTCATAATATTAGATATAATAATTTGAATGTAGAAATAGGATATTATATAACATTTTTTGTTAAAATTTAACACAGGATATCAATATTTTTGTTAAACAATATGTTCGTGATAAGGAACGAGTCTTATTATAAGATTTAAAGAACTACATTAAACCAAAGATAAATAAAATCACAAAACACTTTAATAAAGTTAATATTATTTATTTATTTTTTTTTTCATAAAAAACTAAAGTGAAAAAAAAAATGAAGATAAAATATGAAAAATTGTAATTTTATCTTTTCACATTATAATAATACAAATATGGCTTATTACTGTTATTTTATATTTATCATCGAAACTCTTTACATTTAATAGTTATTTCCTTTAAAAAGTAAAATTTATAATAATATTCCTTATATGGTGCATATTTACTCATCGAATGGTGAACCGCAGTACCGTTTTATTGCCTATCTTGTCATGTTGTAAATGCTATTCGGATTCCCTGTATTTTAACTAGGTCATCGGTGTAAAGTAAATAATTCAATTGATAACCAATAGCTCATAATACATCTATATTATAATATATAATTTATATTGTAATTATTATTTATATCTTATATCAATAATAATTGCACAATCAACCTTCTCCAACTGATATAATGAAAATAACTCTCCCTTATGTTATTGAGTTTTTGTATTTAGTATTGACTGACACTAAATACGAAGATATATGTAGATATAATATACTAAATATACATGTATGTACAAAAATGGGTGCAATCATCATTTATTGCACATAAAAACAGTACTTAAAAATTGTTGATAAATTTAAAAATAACATTCAGTTCTAAAGCAGATCAAAATTTCAATCAAAGGAGACCAAATATAATTTACTCTCAACTTTTTGAAGTGCCAATTACTTTTCTTCATATTTCCAAATATTTTATTGATAAAATCATCAATAATGTACAAAATCTAGATTTAACCGCTTAGTCTTGATTTTGTAAAATTAAAATTAAATTAAAAAAAAAAAAAGATTAAATTTTATATTAGGAGTGTACACTTTAATTTACGTTCATAAAATTACTTTCTTATACCACTCCAGATACTCTATAATGTATAATATATTTAAAATAAATTGTATTATATTGTTAAAATATATTTTATATCAGTTACTAGAAGTGGAATGCGATTGCTTCGTCTCACCTCCTCAAACTCGCTAATTTTCGAATACTATTTTATAAAATTAAAAAATTGTTTTGTCAATATTGTTAATGTTATTACTTTTTGATTAAATTGTACGTGTTATCAAAATACAAAATTGATATGAAATTGTTTTGTTCTAAATGTAATTTCGAAGCGCACGATTTTTTACCATCGTTTATTATTTCACGTACAATCATATCATCCTGTAGTTGTACATTGATAATATATGTTAGTTATCAATATAAATAAAAATCCCAAAACGTATTTTTGTGTACATTAGTATAATATACGGTTTAGATGTTCTAAAAATAACTATGAGTGAAATTGTACGTATAAATAATTATTGATAATAAACGTATTTTATATTCTTTCATTTAACAACGTACAACTAGGAATCTATAATTTTCGAGTTGGTTAACTATACGTGAGCACTTCCGAACGCTTGAATTAACTTGTTTTGATCTCAGATAAAATTGCTATACTATATTTTTACACGTCGATTCACAATGTACATGGCATCAGCCATATCTGGCGGCGAAACCACAGTCAAATCGATTTATTTGAAAATTGCACCCGTACAAAATAATAATAATATTAAAATGGAAAAAATTTAATTTGCTTTTACGATAACTGCTATTAACAGTTAACTACATGCAGTGCCCTCACCATCAACGTCCATCCTTCACATAACACTTTGTAAATTGTAATTTAACAAAAATACGCCCACCCTAATCCCTTGATACGAATCAAGTGCAATTTAATGTTATAGTCTCATATATCATTGGGTTAGAGTCGAATTTACGTGACCAGGATGTTCGATGTTTGTTGTAACGCACATCAGATGTAGAACAAGGTGAAAATTATTGTCACTTTAGAAAATCACTGAAATATTCGTCGATTGGCATTTTAATCAGTGCGGCGTCGTGTTTACGAAGCGCAAAGTGAATACTATTTTATTAGTATACAATGCACGTTTTAATTTTTTTTTTCGATTTAATTTTTAAGTGAAATCCGACAACTTTTCCTCGTAGTTCATCGGTATGTAGTCTAGGTCTTGATGACACATTTTGTATTCATATTAGGCTTTTACTATTTCGTTGTATATAAATATTTTAAATAATATATA